CTCTCTCTCTCTCCCTCTTTCTCTGCCCCTCCCCCACTTGAATGCACCCATGCTCTCTCTCTCTCAAAATAAACAAATAAACTTTAAAAATAAAATAAAAATACAAAAATAAAGGGTACTCCCCCAAAAAGGGTGGGGGGCACTGAGTGGTTCAGTTGGTTAAGCTCACCGATGCTCACCGAAGCAGACCCTTCGGCTCCGGTCACGATCTCACAATTTGTGAGTTCAAGCCCCTCATTGGGCTTTCTGCCATCAGCACAGAGCCCACTTCAGATGCTCTGTCCCCCCTCTCTCTGCCCCTCCCCAACTCTCTCTCTGTCTCTCAAAAATAAATCAACACTTAAAAATCATGATCAAGTGTACTCCCACCTTCCACACCCCAGTGAAATAACCCCAGCCTCTGTTCCTGGCCTCAACCCTTGCAAGGCTCACATATGGCATCTGACCATGACCACCCACCTCCCGTGAAAGTATAGACAGGTAGGGTGTGCATTCTCTTGGGCTGTCATAACTAACGCTGGGCCAGTTAACTACTGCTTGCTGCTCTCTGGGCCTGAGCCCTTGCCTGCTTAGACCTGTCCTAGCTTCCAGACTCTTTCAGAAGCCCTTCCCCGTCACAACACATACATACACGGGCACGCTATAAAGAAAGTCAAGGTTAAACGATATTGCTAACCACAGGTGTTTAGAACAAGTGACGTGAACACTAGTTTGTTTTACCTTTATTCCTTTACTTATTCATCTTTTTTTAGGAGAACCCATCCCCAATTTGTAGATAAACCCGCAGTTACAAAAGATAGCTTCGACACCTCTCGCCACTTCTCCATGGCAACTCGCCACTGCCCCCATGGAAACTATTGGGGAGGAGGGGGAGGGAAAAAACAAATACGGGTGCTCCCAGGAGCTATAGGTCAGGAGTGAAGGCAGGGGATCAACTGTGCAAAACAGCAATATTTTTTGGAGGAAAGATTCCCAAGCAGGACCACCACCCTGACCCAATATTTTCCTGCCCTAACAGGAAACCTTCCTTTTGATTTGCCCTGCCACCTCAGTGCAAATCAAAGATTAATTTGGGTTAACAAGCATCCTATTTTGACAATGGAAATGACTCTGGACTGGCTAAAACCTCACTAGCCATTGATGCATTAGCATGACTGAGTTGAAAGCTTCCAACAATCCCTCTTGGGAGTTAGCTACACCGAATAAACAAGGGCTTGGGTTGAGGGAGTAGAAACTCAAGTAAATTTGGAAAAGGGAACGTCTGAGGGGTAGGGGAGGGGAAGTGCTTGCAGCCACATGAGAGTGTGCAGTAGGAAAGGAGGCACCAGGGGAACGCAGTCGGCAGGGAAGGAACGTGGACCTGATGACCAGCCACGGAGGGACAGCTAAGGAAAAGATGATGGTCCCCTCACTGTATGGACATTTCTGTGGCCATTTACAAAATGACCATTAAGCTCTATTGCAACAAGAGAAGTGCCCTTGATATTGTGTAGTGAAGAAAGCAAGAGGCATAAGAAAGAGATGTCAGAGTTTGACAAATATGAACTTCATCTAGTTCAATATTTTCAGTATTGAAATAGTTCAAGAATATTTCAAAATAGTTCAAGAATATTTCAATATTCTTCTCCTCTTCCTTCTCGTGGGCTGGAAGGGGACCTGACGGGGGACACTTTGGATTGTGGGGATGAAGCGAACACCCTGTGGTTGGAACAGCAAAAACGTAGAGCCTGGACCCTGCTTTAAGGAGCCGAGCCTCAATACCAACTGAGACTTTAATAAAATAGAGAATTCAGTTTCTACCTGCATAGTTACAGCATAAGTTACTGCTATCTGGGTCCCATGCAATGTGCACCAACGTGCAGCCACCCCTCCTTTTTCCTAACGTATATTTCAGGCACTTCTGCCATTCAAACAGTTTTCCTTCTTGTTCTTTAGTGAAAGAAGCTGTTGTCCACTTCCTCCCAATAATTAGTACCAAATAGAGACTATAGCTTATATGTAGGTCACTTTTCATCAAACTCTAGGCTTGGGCAGCCATAATTCTTTCAAATGTTAAGAACTGAGAGGCCGGACCACAAAGAGTTATATAGATTTTTATTATTTTCCTATTAAAAATTTTTCATCTTGAAATTGGTTAATTTTAAAATAAAAACTAACCATATATTTGTTTTTATACATTATATACACTGGAGAAATAAATAGTACTCTAAGTGTTAAAAAAAAAAAGCATCATTATATACAACTAAGGCTTCAAGCCAAATGTATAAATACAGGACCCACTGAGGATTTGATTCCCGAGGCTTCCATTCCTAAAAACAGAAGGCAGAAGTAATCAGGAGGCATGGCCAATAACAGAAGCTCCACTTTGGCTAGAAAGCATTCACAGAAGCAACAGAAGAAGCACACAATTTAAGAAAACACCTTGAACTAAGACTTGACTGGTTACGTCTTCAAAAGTTTGGCATTGAACAATTACACAACTTTGGCACAACACAGGTTAAAACAACATCTTTCGAAAAACCTAAGTACAAAGAAAAATCACTCTTCTCCCCAATTTGACATCACACCTCCTTCCAAATAAATCTCATCCATAAAAGGCCCAACCTCTTATTCCCCTGGCTATATACTAATATAAGGGTTTATGGTTTAATGGATGCCTCCAAAAACCAGCTCCTTGTTTGTCACCTCTGAGGCATATTAGGGTCAAAAGGCTGTAGACATCTTGAGGAAGTTGCAGAAATGAACACACCACGGGCTTTGCCTCCAGGAAATCTGGGTCCTCACCGGGCTCCACCACCGACCTGGGATATAAATCTAGGCATGTGGCTGAACCTCATTAAGCCTTCGTGTTATAAAACAGACATTAGCTGCCTTGCGCTCCTCTTGTGAGTCTCCAGCGAAGTGATGCACATGCAAATCTTTTGAAAAGTATAAACCAGTTTCTCAGATATCGCATATATTCATTTATGTCAAGAGCTACAATTGGAGGCTTTTCTAAGTTCAACACAGAGAAGGCGCTGCTATTAGAGCAAGATATTCCACGGAGGAAAAGGCATTCTATTGAATCTTAGCGCCAGCTCTGTTTGACAGGTGCTGGTTTCTGTATGAACAGATACGTATAACAGATATATGATGCCTTCTACCTCCCCAAGCAGAAGAGATTTTGCTCTGAAGCAATCGCATTTGGAGATGGGCCACGGTTCCATCCCCAGCACATGTGGCACTCTGCTCGTTTCCATGCAAGTGATCAAACATGTCGCTCTTACAGGGAGTGTGCACGTTAACTAACAAGAAATAGCTGAAACCACTTCAAGCCTCGGATCCCCGAGGCTTACACCCTGTAGCCCTCCCGGTGTCCATTGTGCCCTTCATCCCATGTATATTCATGGATCATCTAAACTGGAAGGGAGACCAGAAATCCCAACTCCATTAGATTCCAAGTCTGGAAAGGTTTACTAATGCGTCTACTGCCTTGTGCTAATCAAGTTTAAGTGCTTAATAAACATCTGTCCAATCAAACAATAAGCAACTGGAAAACCAAGACACCCAATGATGTGTGCTTTAGAGAGTAAGCTGGGGAGCAGGACGGAATGCCTGCAGTGTAATGATTATTGATCAATGCAGCCCACCGAACCCCAACAGTGAGGGCTTCGCCACCACCCCACATCTATACTCCCCTCCCTCTGGGCAAATGAGATCATGGGTCTGCCATCGTGACACAAGTCAGCTCCCAGTGGAAAGACCTCTCCCCACCATTCAGATCAGGCAGCTGACAGTCCTCCATGCGCTTTCACAAGTGTCCCCTGTCAGGCGAAGCACAGGCTCATCCAGTCACCCAGAAACCAGTGCAGTGTGCGCAGGAGGCCCGGGCGTCCGACCCTTCGCACACAGGTCTGGAGTTAGAGCAATTCTAGAGCGGCAGGAACAGCAGGAACAGCAGCGTATGGTCCCCTCCGGCGAGAAGTCCCAACAGTCATAGGAGGTAAGGTCCTGGGCCCAGCAAACAGTCTCTTGCCAGTGCCTGAGGATCAAGGCCAAGAGGGGTCCTTCCATCAGGTGGGTCCTCAGCAGTAACTTTCCTCCATGTGTCTGGAAGGCGGGTGTGAGTGGGCCTCACTGGCCCCTCAGGAAAGCTCCACAGTTGGGCTGAAAGGAACCATGTAAGAGATGAGCAATATTTGGCATCCTCACCTGGCTTGCTTGGCAAACGTGCAGCCTGTACTGAGGGTGTACTCTGTTTGCCACAAGTTCAAGCTTTCTTACACACCTATCTCACACACACACACACACACACACACACACACAAATGCAGGGAAAACTATCCATGATCCTCTTTGCCTTGATCCAGAAATACGAGAGCGACTGTAGGGTGGCAGGAAGGGGGCAAGACAGAATCCAGAGATCTTGATTCTAGTCTCAGCTACACGAACATGCAATTGAACCTCTTGGAACCTCAGTCTCTTTATCGGTGAATAGGCGAACAGTATCCACATCAGGTGAGAGGATACCGAAGGCATAACCTATGTCTAGGGATTGTCACAACTTCCTAGTGTCGATGCATGACTCAGGCTTCTATCGCCTTATGTTCTTTTGGGGGTAATGACTGGCTTTCTCATTACCAGGATGAGTAAGGTAGGATGTTAGTAGGACGAGGTACTAACATTACATAAGTATCAACATAACATCCTCAGCTGCTACAAAGTTCCGGAGCGGAAAAGAAGAAGAAAATGTTTTATCATAAGATATGTTATCATAACAATAATGATAAGAACAGTGATCCTTCCTGGGTGCGTACCATCTACACGGCTATTCTGAGGATCAATGAAATTGATGCATGGGGGAGCACTTTGGAAAGGTAATAATCTGAATACGAATGTAAAGAACTAAAGTTATTATTATAGCAGAATATCCTATGAGCCTGCACTAGACTGAGCCATTCGATGGGCAGTTTTCAGAATCCTACATGTCCTGTGATCACCAAGGTTGTGATCAGGCCGGTGATGCTGAACAGGACACAGAGCAGTCAGGATGAAGCCTGGTCCCCAGGGTTGGCAGAGGGCTCATCACAGGGGCCCCCCGAATGGGTGCAGCTGCTTGATAATTGATACCCAGATCAAAGTGAGGTGATTTATCTGAGTAAGTGAACCCTCCATGCTCAAGAAAGAGTACAGACGGGGCACCTGGGCGGCTCAGTCAGTTGAGCGTCCGACTTCAGCCAGGTCACGATCTCGTGGTCCGTGAGTTCGAGCCCCGCATCGGGCTCTGGGCTGATGGCTCAGAGCCTGGAGCCTGTTTCCGATTCTGTGTCTCCCTCTCTCTCTGCCCCTCCCCCGTTCATGCTCTGTCTCTCTCTGTCCCAAAAATAAATAAACGTTGAAAAAAAAAATTAAAAAAAATAATAATAAAAAAATAAAATAAACCAACATCAAATCTTCACTCTACCATTGCCTGCTGGGGGAGCTGGAAAGAGTGACCTAACTTCCCTGAGCCTCAGGGTCCACAACAGTACACAGGGTTAACAGCACCAATGTCATGGGGCTGGTGATACAAGTAAATGAGCTAACATAGAAAAGGCACTAAACACAGGTGGGCACGTGTCGTGTGCTCGGTGTATGGAGGCTGCATTATTATACAGCATCTCAGTTGGGGCAAGTGGTGGAAGCCATCGAGGGGCCCGTCTCCGTCCTCCAGAAGCAGGTGTTTAGGCTCAGAGACTCTGTGATGAATTTCCCTTTTGGATGCACCTGCTGCCTCACACCATGAGATCTGCCTTCCTCAAATCTGAAATAATGGGACTACGGCATGGGGTCATGGGACACAGAATCAAGACGTGCCTTTTGTCTGGTTCAGTGTCATACACATGAGCACTCCTGCTTCTCCAAAAGGGGAAGAGCTGATCACTATCCCTGACACCCACCCGGGGTTCCAGAAAAACCTAAAAATGGGGATTATACCATGCCTTTCCCCTTTACCTCCCACCTGAGTCCCCATTCCAAACGGGTGCCCAGAAGGAAGCTAGGGGCCCTGGAATCTTCCTGTAGCCCCTGTCACTATGGAGAAGTTCAACCTAAGATGGCCTGACTCCAGAAGGACCATGGTCTGTGAACATCTTGAAGGGGAGTTGGACCAAGGGGCAAAGGGACACAAACGCCCTCCGACATCCTGCATATTCCACGGATTGGTCTATCTCTTCCCAACAGGTCAGCTTCATGAAAGAGGAGATCTGTATCTGGTCTGTTCACTGCTACATCCCAAGCACCCAGACCCATATCCAGCACATGCTAGGTGACCTGTCTAACAGGTACCGCATGACCCTATGAGAAAGTCCCTGGTTACCTGGTTTCATTTTTCATTCTCCAGCCATCCCGACACTTGTGAAACCAGAGCTCTTGGCCGGGGGATATGCTGGTGTCGTCAAGGTCTTCCACACAAAAGGTCAACCTAGGAGGAAGAAGAAACCACTCATGTAGCCAAAACTCAAGTGGGGGAGGCACATTGCTGGGCCTTAGCCAGACGGTGCTTTCTGGATCCAAAGTGGACCAAGTGAGGAGAAAAGGGCTTTCATCATGCCACACCTTGACTCAGAATCTTCAGAACCCCTCATTGCTGCTGCCATGTCCCACTCTGACATCTCCCGTGGTTTGGTTCATGTAGCCCTTTGATCACACCTTCCACCTTCTCCTGTCTGTCCATCCAAAAGGCTACCTGCCTTTCAAGGCATAGCGTCTCTGAAGTCTCCCTGACTGCCCAAGCCCTTGACCTCAATAGAAAAGCATATTGTTTTATAGGTGTTGCCTTTGCTATTGTCATTCCTATGCGCGGCATGGAGTTAATAATAAATGCTTCGTCTTATTTTACGCGTCATACACTGCCTTGAATTGTTCATGGATTCCCGTATCTATGGTGGACCACAGTCTCCTCAAATGGAGGAATTCAATGTACCTCCAGTGGGGTGCTCATAAGCACCCATCAACAAGCATAAATGGATGCAGCTGTGAGTCAGAAAATGCTCAACCAAGGTCGCAGAGAAAAATCACTAGTCTAATAACCATTTCAACTCTAACGTACAGCCAAACCACGTGGGTTACCGCAGCCTCTGTGGTGTGGCGTTCGTATGACCCCGCGACTGACAGATGTACGGGATACCTGATCCTGATGCCGATGGGAAGGACGAACGCCACCTGCAGAACAGGTTTAAGAACCTTTACCAGAGGGGCACCTGGGTGGCTCAGTTAAGTGTCCGGCTCTTGGTTTTGGCTCAGGTCATGATCTCACCGTTCATGAGTTCAAGCCCCGCATCAGGCTCTGTGCTGATGGTGCAGAGCCTGCTTGGGATTGTCCCTCCCCCTCTCTGCTCCTTCCCTGCCTGTGCTCTCTCTCTCTCTCTCTCTCTCTCTGTCTCCTCCCTCTCTCTCTCTTTCTCAAAATAAATAAATAGACATTTAAAAACAAAAGAACCTTTACCAGAAAGCCCAAATGGCCCATAAACATATAAAGAGGTGAGCCATCTCATCTCAACCAGGAAATTAAAACACGTTAAAGCAACAATAAGGGACCAGTTCACACCCAACAGAATGGCAAGAGTGTCCCCTCCAGTGTAGGCGAGGAGGAAAGGAAAAGGGGGCTCTTACTTTTAGATTGTATTGGTCTAAACACTTTGGACGGAGATTCCATAATATCTAGTCAAGTTGGAGAATACATCTACTGTAACCCAGCGACAGGGGTAGGGTGCAAAGAGGCCTCTGCTCTCCCCAGTTCACAGACTTCTAGACCAGAATCACTCAGACAAGGGACCCCCGCCTCCCTCCCCCTAAGGCCACACTACACCGCAGGCGATGGATGGAAACAGGACGACACATGAAGAACTGTGATGGAGAAAATACCAGATGAGGTACGAGGAGGGTGGTGCCTGCCTCCTATCATCTCCAGGCTGGCGGTGACCTCCCAGCGGTCTGCAGAAAGATATGGCCGAGGAAACCCTCCTCTTTTGACAAAGGTCCCACGGGCTTCCTTGGCTTCTGCTTAGAAGTTTGCTGAGAGAGTCAAGGCACCATTTTAGGGGATGATACATAAAGGTCTAGAGTTTTCACTCTAAGCCTGAGGTTAAAACTCGTGGGGGAACTGCCAGCTGGCATGGCATAGAGCATTCTCTGTGACTTGACGTCAGGGCCCCACCCCATACCCTTGACTCAGAGCCTTGGAAGGAAGGATATAATGCTCAAAGGGTCCGGGGAAATCAGGGCCTCTTGCAGACCTCAGCCGTGGGGGCGCCGTAGGCCTGATACTCTGGTATGCTCTGCACAGGGGCAAGCGAAGCCTTTGGTTGTGTGGACCCCACGGCAAACAGGTCATCAGGGCAGTGCTCGTAGGGAGCCCCGTCCAGGAGAAGCCCCCCTTCCTCCAAGCCAAGACAAGGTGCGGCAAAAGAAAGGTCGCGAAGCCCTTACCTCCGCTGGGTCTCCCCAGACTTGACCCGGATGCGCCTGATGTTCAGCTGCCGCTCAGAGCTGCGGGGCTGGGACAGGTAGCTGCGAAGCTCCTTCCACAGGTTGTACCAGGACTGAGCTGCCCCCTCCCAGGTGAGTTTGATCTTCAAGAGGTCTCCAAGGTCCTCCTCGGTGTAGACCAGGAAGGTGTTGGTGGCATTCAGCCCGATCTGCTCCACTCTACAAGGGGAGATAGGAGCAGGTCTCACCGCCTGGCCACCTGGAAAACTGCCCCACCGTGTGGGGTGACGCGGTGGCAGCACCTGCCACATGGTGACTGCAGAGAAATGAGCCCACAGACGCTCGTCTCCCTCTGAACTCCCAGCCCCTTCCTGCCTGTCCCCATCATGTGACCCTTGGGGGGACCTGTCCCATCCCATTTATGGAGGTGAGTGTGTGCATACATACCTGGTCCTCCAGCTAGACCCTGAACCCTGGGAAGCGAGTACTTTGAGGACATTACTTTGCAGTCCCAACATGACTTGGCATGGCGCCTTGTACCTCGCGTGCGCTTAACATATACCGGTCGCCATGTGCCCCTCCCACAGATCATTAGAAACGGTGCAGGGATAACATTTATGTTCCAAATTTCCCAGAGCCCCAGGTGTCAGGCGTTGCCTGAAACGAAGCAACAGTTTCTGTCCAGCTGACCCAGCAGTTTCTCATGCTGCTGATTCATCCTGGAGCATCCTTCCCAGAAAGGGTCTGAGTCAAGGGCTTGGTGGAGAGTGTGGACCACAGACCCACCCAGCCCCTCCCGCAGGCACTCAGGCTGCACTCCCCTGAACTGGCTCGCACGCTCCCACGCTCACTCATTCTTAGCCGGACTCGTTCTCGGTCCTGAACTCATTAAAGGGAGCCCGGGACTCACATTTCCAAAGGCAGGATCTGGGAGTCTGCGTTGGTGCCATAAAGGGTGACGTAAAAGTTGGGTTCGATGTCTCCCATATTCTTGTAGCTGAAGATGTGGATTTTCATCTGATAATGGTAAACTGCACAGACAGTGGGACAAAGGCATTTGTGAACTTTGCCGGTCATCTCAGGACACGCTGAGCCAAACTGAGTCACTCATGACACTGAGTTTTTAGGGGCTAATGTCCCTTTGGTCCAGCCCAGCCTCCCTCTTGTCATCTTCAGTCCAATGGCATAAGGAATCACCTCAGTATAGGAGGAGCCCCAAACTTGGAGGCCAATGACTCTTTCGGTGATTCCAACCTAGCAACTTTCTAGCTGTGTGACCTTGAATTAAGGACCAAGGTATTAACCGCTTTGGGCCCCAGCCTCCTCACATGTAAATACCATCGGCAAAACCCTATGGTTTTCTCACATGTTGTAAAAATGCAAGACCTCATTTTGATGCCCTATCGGTCCTCCCTCAGATTTGCTGTGACGATCATGAGAAAAATATGAAATAGCTTTGCAAAACTTAATTGCAAAGAAATGACAATTTTCCGTCTCAACACAAATTTAAGATACTGATGTTGCGACCATGGAGCGATGGTTTTCATCACAAAAGGAGTCCTCACCATTTATTTTTAAAGATTGACTTTCCTAGGGCACGCACAACATCGTTGATTTGCAATGGTTTGGTTTAATTGTGCCCTGCCACGTCTCCTGGGCTGGGACGTGCCCTGCTCCACAACATGGTATTAGACAAAGGGAAAGGACGAAGGTCCCTCCTCAGGACACTGTGGGGACAGAGGGTTACCTCTGAAGGGCATGCCTGCCCGGGTCTTGAGGTACATTTTGCTGTTCCTCTTACTCCTGGTTTTCTTGGCATTGTAGCCAATGCTGTTACAACGGTTCTTGCGGCAGCTGAGACAGATCCCCTTTTTGAAGCGATTTGAGTCCGTGCACTGGAACGCAAAACTCGGCTTGTCCTGATTCACCAGGGAGTCAACAAAGAGGTGTACGGCCCGCTCGTGCTCACATTTCACCACTTCCGTGATTGCTGGGGGAGGGGAGGACGGGCAGGATGAGCCTCTCATCAAATATAGATTGTGCCCTCAAAGCCCACAGAGATGAAGCCATTTGCTCAGAGTCACATGATCGGTTGGTTACGAAGTTAGGAGTGTAACTGGGATTTCCATGCCCACGGTGCGTCCTATCTCTTGTAACCGGAAGCTACAGCCAACAGCCCGGTAAATCCCAGGACCTTAGGAAAAATTTGACAAAGCCACCCCCTCCTCAGTAACACTACTAGTCTTAAGGAATGCCAGCATCTGACAGAGGTCCTTGCTGGACCTCCAAGCTTTGCAGGGGCTACTTGAATATTATCACATTGGGAGAGGGCTACAGTCTTAAGACTGAATGACAGGGAGGGACATCCAAAGGGCGGAGCATCAGAGTAGAGGGAGCCAATAGGGGCCAAGACTTAGCAACACAGCCGAGACCAGAGGGAGTGAGAAAATGGGAAATCCAGAAAGGGGTTGGTCACTCCAGCCACACATGGGTTTCGGCAGCAGATTCAGTTCAATCCAAGTCTGCTGGGAACAGGCTCAGGCATCCAGAAGGTAAATGGTAAGTGAATGG